AATTTAATAGTATACAAGTAATTTCACGATGAATCATAGGAGATATTTCATGGAAATTCAAAGATACAATATAGTACAATCATATCATATTGTATTACGATTGGGGAAAGTATATGATGTTATATTATTATTATTATTATTATTATTATTATTATTATTATATATGAACTATGTGAAATTTCTAATTTATGTTAGACCTTAAGCTTAGCATTTGCGTTAGTATCTCGATTAATTAGACCTTAAGCTCATGGGTGTTTACATGAAATTATAAGGTGTTGTCGTATTTATATTCAAATATAAATTAAGAAAAAATTAATGAAAGAAGAAGACATCAAATCTGATAAAATAAAGAAGATGATGAAATGAATTAATACTATTTCATTGAAAGTTGTAATCTGACATTTAATGTTAATACATTGAAATTTGGGATCATGGTAATCATATTAGAGAGACAAAAATAATCTCAAATTTAAATTCAAATTAATTAAAATTATAACTCAAGGATATATTTGTAATTGTACATAATAATCTTTTTGTAAAATTACATAACTGCCATTTCTGGCCAGCCAGATTCTGGCCACATAGATTAATCGTTTCCAAAAATCAATACATATTTACGAGTAATTTTATTAGCTATAATAAAAACGAGAATTAAGTTGAGAGCACGATAAGGAGACATGGGCACATGCCCATAATAGTTTCCTTCACAGAACCGCCAATTTTCAGTGCTCTCTCTCTGCTAATAATTGCTCAGATCTCTCTCTCTCTCTCTCTCTCTCTCTCTCTCTCTCTCTCTCTCTCTCTCTCTCTCTCTCTCTCATATATATAATTATATATACATGTAAGTATAAAAATACAAACTCCAAAAAACATATAACATGTGAATGCACAGCTAATATATTCCAGACCAGTAGGGACAATTTCACTAAACGAAAATTCTTATGTTCATGTTCTTCTGCCTTTGTTTCGTTTTATCCACTTTTCCATTTTTTCTCTATCTATAAATATTCAAAAAAAAAAAAAAAACAATCTCTTATGTATATTAGGATCCAAATCGATGCTACATCCGGTGAAAAACAAGGAGTGATTTTGCACCGTAGATTTATATAAATAATTATCCACTAAGCACACACACATGAGTGTATGCGTAATTATATGTAGATCAATAGTGCAGAGTCAATCTATATATTTCATCGGATGTAGCATCTATAAAATCGGAACGACCTGGCGTACGTATTTCACCAGATATATATATCACCGTACATTAGTGGACTCAAATCCAATTCTACACTCGGTTTGTAAATCAAACGGTATATAAACCACATTAGGTTTTTAAATCATCTAAGATAGATTGGATCTAACACTTTAATTTAATTATTTTTAATATATATAATATTTCAGCCCCACTAGAATATTATAAATACACTAGAATAATATAAGTAGCTAATTAATATAATTATAAATAATAGAAATAAAGAAAGGCAGCGCTTTATAATAGAAAGTCCAATTATTATGGTATCATATTTATTTATTTATTTATATGGGGATCCATGTTCTTTCTCCCAATGATTAATGGCAGTGATTTTGGTCCCATGGGCCATGATGAATGTATACTTGTCTTTATAAATCACATGCAAACGTTATAGGATCCGACCCGGTTGTGCAAATGGTCCATGGGCTGGCCCATATCAATTGGGCCCATCTGTTTTCAACATTAATTAGAAAATTAAATATTTATTTGACAACAAATTAAATTTCATATTCAAACTATTGTCAGACTTAGGACTAGGGGTGTAAACGAGCCGAGCTCGAGCCGAGCTCGCCTCTTTTGGCTGGCTCGAGCTCGAGCTCGAGTATATTTTGTCGAGCTCGAGCTCGAGCTCGAGCTCGCGAGCTCCTCTTTTTTTTACTATTTTTTTAATTATTATTTTATTATTGAAAATTATTTAAAAAAATAAAAAATAAAAACTAAATTGTAATTATATATATTTTTAATATTTGTATTTATTTCTATAATATTTTACATTATTATACATTATTTAAATAAAAATAACATATAAAAAATAAAAGATAATAATAATAAATCCGGCTCGCGAGCCGGCTCGCGAGCTCATGAACAACTGAAAACCGGCTCGAGCTCGGCTCATCAGAAAGCTCGAGCTCGCGAGCTCGAGCTCGAGCTCGAAAATCTCGAGTTCGAGTTCGAGCTTTTTACGAGCCGGCTCTTCGAGCTCACGAGTCGGCTCGGCTCGTTTACACCCCTACTTAGGACAATATTGCAATTTATCTCATAAATTTGTCAAACTTAGCTGCATCTGCAGATGTAAGATATCCTATCCTGTCTTCAATTAGTTATATTTATTATTTCTTTTTAATTGAAAAATAAAAGGAAGTATGTTTGTTACGAGCGATCAAAGTCTACGTCTACACGTATGCATAGAGTCGTTTGTTCCATAAAATCAAGACGATAATACGAAAATCATACGAAATGTGTGACGAGGTCAACAATACAAAACATATAATCCTATTAGCCCAGCACAAAGTGCAATTACCGGAACCTCCGACCAAAACCGCTCGTTTTTTGATCAACTCTCTAACTCGAAAATCCAATCGCAATATTTTCCTTTATGAACTAGTTGTAAAAATTAAATAATACAATAAAATATCATAACATGTCATTATACAAAAGATAAGAACCTTTATTCTTCCACTAAGAAGTGATTAGCACTACTAATTATAAATAATAATAAATTAAATCAACGTTTTATAAGTCAAGATAAATACGTTTATTTTGCTTAAACTCTACGGCAAAAAGACTTCCACTTGGATTTTTAAATACATTAATCTTAGGTTAGGGCCCCCTCAAATTGGCAGTTATTTCTGGTACCTAACTACTCCTTCTACACCACCATTAACACGTAATTATATTTTTTAACTAGGTTTAATTAAATTTAACTTCCAATTAATATACGTGTTAGTGTGAAATATTGCATTTATTTAATTTAATTAGTGATTTCCTTTTTTCTGTTTTCATTTGAGAATTGCTTACAAGGAAAGAATTGGAATAGTAGGAGAATAATAGCATAAGACGTAACTTTTGATTTTGTTTTGTTATGACGAAATTTATATTGAGTGAGTCGCTGCACTAAGTTATCCTTATCTTGATTTGAATATTCAATAAATTTGAATATAACTGGTTAGTTATAAAAATAAAATTGTAACCAGATATTTAAAATTTCGCTAGATTAATTAAATTTAGACCAAATTAACAAATTTGAATACCAAAGATAAGTTATAATACCTTTCGAAGATGCGTGTTATAATTTTTTTAATGCATTTGACCCGAACGGGCCCCACTAGTGGGATTATGGACTAATGGGCTTCTACAGTTAATTTAATAGACTATTAATTTAATTTACAGATGGGTTGTGTTTTTATGTCTGTTTTGGTGGCCCAATAAGAATGATTAATTTGTTATTTAGTAATTTAAATAAACAAGCTGTTATTTTATTTATTTCAATTATGTAATTAATTATAAGCAATAATTCTGAATTAAAAAAGAAGTAAAGAAAAAAGAAATGAAAGTGGTAGTCCAGCTTTTGATACTGCCATTTCATGTGCAATAAGTTCAGCTTTTGAGAGAACTTGTTATAAAAATTAAGTATTTTGCTGTCATACTTTTCTAAGTGCCTTTGCAGTTTGCACGTATCTCGATTTTTTATTTTTTTGGCCCAAACAATGCCTTAATAGTTAATTACCTTTTTACCCCTTCATTTCAATTTCACTCTAATCTATATAAATCTTTAACTAGATTCTACTGCTTTAAATACAAACCCATCTGTATTTCTTCACACCACCAATCACACCTCTTCTTTTTATTAAATCAGATTTTGTTTAAACAATATTTTCTATTTTGGATAAGTGGTTCTATATACGCGTGTAAATGAGCTGAGCTGGCTTCAAGTCAATTTTTTCAAGCTCAACTTTCTATCGAGCCGATTCCCAATTTATTTTTAGTCGTTGTATGTTTCGAGCCGGATTGCAATTTTTTTTTTTTCTTTTTAAATTTACTTTAGATGTTTTATTATAAATATAATTTATATAATCAATAACAAAAACTTAATAATATTAATAAATAAATAAATAAATACAACACTAAATTGGCCCATCGTCAAATTTGAACTCAACAAGCTCGACACGAGTTCGAGCTCACCAAAACAGTCAGATTCGACTCATTTACACCCATAATTTCCAATACAGTTATACCTCCATAAATTAATATAGTCGGGATTAGGAAAAATTCTATTAATTTAGCGAATTATTAAAGTATCGAGTTAATAATTTAACACGTTTTCTCCGAATCAGGGTCATAAGAAATCATTATTTCATCGAAGTGATTAATTTATGTAGGTTGTAGTCTAATCCAATATAATAGCTTTATCTACAGTTCACCTAGTGGCTAGTGACAGAATTAAGTAATGGTTCATCTGTAAATGTTTAATTAAAGGAGACAAAGTCGTTGCCCAAAATTAATTAATTACTGCTTTTAATAATACAAGTGATCAAGTACAACTAAATCCAAGGGCATTTTCGTCATTTCACCCAAGTTGGAAAATCGAAGCTGAATAAATCGAGACAAACTCCGATGTCTACTCTGCTCCATCAAACCCCAACACCACCCCCCTCTCTCTCTCTCTCTGCAAATAGTACATCAGTTTTTTTCATGATTAAAGAAAATAAAATTATTACCAAA